GAGAATGATGATCTTAAACTCTCTTGGGGCTCGGGATGGTGTGCAGGAACTCACCTCTTCCAGCAGCAGCACAGTTCCCTTCTTCCAAGTTCTGAGTTTTACCTGTTTGGCGGCATTAAGATATTTGCAGTGGATAGTTTAGCATCATACACACAAGCACACGTATGCACACACACACACACACACACACACACACACACACGCACACCCCACAGGTTAATATCCAATGTAGAATTAGACAATGTTTTAGCAACATTTTTGTAAATGAGAGAGTCCTCAAGGTCCCTAAATTTGCTGTCAGTCTTGGGCCATTTCAGTCATACTGGAGTTGGAAAGTACTCCACAGGTAATTCCTCCCAAAGTAGGTAGAAAGGTTGCATTGGAACAAGAGGGCAATAGTTTTTTGCTTTCATCAGGATGAAGTGATGTCAGTGTCTTGTATATAAGTCCATTTTAATTGTCTTAGGGCAGAGTGATTAAAGGCAATTATAAACATCAGTATTGGAGCTCAGCTGAACAATGCTCCAAACTTTTTTCATATTTATGGGGTTCTGAGCCCTGTATCCTTTAAAAATGAAATTTGTTTTGGATTAGGCATTTTTTAATACAAGTATGGGGGAAACATAAGCTGAGAATAGTCTTAGGCTATCTTTCTTTGCACAGACATGTTTGCCACCTTTCTCAAAGATAAGTGGCTGAGTATCTTTGAGGTTGTGTCTGCATCTTCTAATCTGTTCCACTAATCCTCAGGTCTGTTTTGTGCCAGTACCATGCTGATTTTATCATAGAAGCTTTATAGTACAATTTCAAGTCAGGGATTGTGATGGCTCCTGCCTTGCCTTTGTTGCTCAGAATCACTTTTGCTAGTCCAGGTCTCTTCTGTTTGCAAATGAATTTTAGGAATGTTTTCTCAAGATCTGTGAGGTAGGCTAAATGAATTTTTATCTGAATTGCATTCAATCCATATACCAGTTTTGGGAGTAAGGACATTTTCCCAAAGTTGGTTCTTCTTATTCATAAGCAAGGAATATCTTTCCATTTTCTGATATCCTCTTGGATCTCCTTCTTCACAGTACTAATTTTCAATGTAAAGACCTTTTACATCTTTGCTAATTTGATTCCTAAGTATATTTTTGATTATGATGATTTTATCACAGTAGCTTTATAGTATAATTTCAAGTCATAGATTGTGATGTCTCTTGCCTTGCTTTTGTTGGCCAAGATTATCTTTGCTATTCTAGGTCTCTTCTGTTTCCCAATGAATTTTAGGAATGTTTTCTCTAGATCTGTGAGGTAGGATAAATGAATTTTGATTGGGATTGCATTAACTCGGTATAAAAGTGTTGGGAGTATAGCCATTTTCACAATGTTGGTTCTTCCAATATGTGAGCAAGGATATCTTTCCATTTTCTAATATTTTCTTTGATCTCTTTAAAAAAGAGTACTGTAATGTTCTTTTATTTTTAAAAATTTTATAAAATTTTATTTTAAAACAAAACAAAAACACTAAAAACAATGGTACAGAATTTCAAATCAATATAATGGGAGACCAAAAATGGTTATTACATACTGCTGTCTTCAAAGCAGTACAAGATATAGACATGAAAAAATGATCAATGAAAGCACAAACCATTCTTTTAATGAATATATATATATATAATCTTTTCTTTTTTTTCTTTTCTCCTTTCTCCCATCCTAGTTGTTCTTTCCTTTTGAACAGTTTCATCAGCTTTCAAAAAAATCTATTGTACACTTTTGGTTTTACTCTTTCAGTTGTTTACATTAAGGAGACAATAGGACATTTATACATACAAATCTGATTTATTTCACTTAGGAGTTTGGCCTCAAGTTGAATCCATTTACCTATAAAAGCCTCTAGTTTATCTTTCTTTATGATGATGACTCCACTGTATAAAAATACTATTATCTTTTTTTAATACATTCAGAAGTTGATGGGCACTTGGGTTGTTTCCAAAATGTAGCTATTACAAACTGTGCTGCTATAAACATAGGTACATATATATGATTGTTATCTCTTATTCTTGTTTTCCCTTCACAAATATATACTGCCTTCTTTGTCTCTTTTAATTAGTTTTGGCTTGTGTTTACATTTTCTCAAAATAGAATTATTATCTCTGCTTTTTTTCTAGGTTCTTGTGGCATGGAAAATTGTTTTTATCTTTTAATTTTTAGTCCATGATAATTTCTTTTTGGGTTAAATGTGTTTCTTGAGTGCAGTATATTATTGGATCTTGCTTCTTGATCCATTCTACAAGTCTATTTCTTTTGGTGAGTTGAGACTATTTAAATTGATGGTTATAACTTATACATATTGGCTTACCTTTTCTGTATTATTTTTCTGTTGTTGGTTCTCTTTCTCCTTTTTGATTGTTGCCCTGCTTGCTGACTTCTTTCTCTTCACATTCATGTTTCTGTTCTCTGTTATCTCTTCCTAATATATCCTTTACAGCATTTTGTATAGCTAGTTTGGTGGTCATAAATTTCTTCAGCTGTTCTTTGTCATGGACTTATTTTATTTCTCCATTGATTTTGAAAAATAGTTTTATGGGGCATATCAATCTGGGTTGAAGATATTTTTTAGGACTTGAATGCCTTATGTAAACCTTTCTTTGATTTAAAGGTTTGTGTTGATAAATCTGCTGTGATTCTGGTAAGTTTGCCTTTATAGGTGATTTCTCTAGCTGGTTTTAATATTCTGATCTTGTGAATTTCCAGAATGTTTATTATGTGCTTTGTAATATTTTTTTTTGTCATGGCCATTTGGAGTTTTATATGCTTCATTTATTTGCATGTCCAATTCTTTATCAATGTTTGGGAAGTTTTCTGCCATTATTTATGTAAAAAGTTTATTATGTTTTCTGCACTGTCTCTGGATTTCTGATTCCAATCATTCTTGTTCTTTTTTGCTTCATCTTGTAGCTGTTGGGATATATTCATGGTCACTTGCTCCTATTAAGACTCTTCCTTTTTAGGGTTGCTGGCCACATCCTGTCTTCTAGATCTGATACTCTGTCTTTGCCTGCAATTCATTGCATATATTTTCAATGGAGTTTTGGATCTTCTGGACTTTTGTTTGTATCTGTTTCATGCATTCTATTTCTTTACTATGTTGGATATTCATAGTTTCCATTATTTTCCTGAGCTCTGTGTTTTGTCTGTCTGCTTTAATATCATTCATTTTGATCATCATTTCTGTTTGCACCTAAGAGATGATTTTTTTCTATACTGTCTTCCATTTGTGTTTTTCACTTCTGGAGCTGTCATTTCCAGTGGTTGGCTTCTGATTTCCTCTTATTTTGCTCTGGAGCTGTCCTGAGTGGGCTGGGGGGCCTGGAGTTGCATTTTACTGTGTCTTGTCATTTCTGTTTTCTATTTTTGCATTATTTTCTGTGGTGATGATTATAGATTTCTTGTGGTAGATAGCTTAATATCACCATTAAGGAAATAGCTGCTCCTTAGGGAAATCTCCTAGATGTAGGTGGTCCCTGGCCTTTGCATCTATCAGAAGAACCTAACTTCCTAATAAGTTGAGGATAAGAAGTTGTTGAGCATGAGAGTACCTATTTGGATCAGCACCCAATTCTTTGGTACTGTATTATGGTGATGGTAATGATCTCATACACTCACGGTGTTGTCAGACAGGAGAGAAAAACTGATTTTCACAGATAAGTAGTACAGTTATTAGTAACATTCTGGCAAGTTGTGGTAACAATTAGCCTGATTCTTTTAACCACAGAAGCAAATGCCACAATTATTTGACACAATACAGCATATACCAGGAATTTGTGTGCAATGATATTTCCTTCAGTGGAGTAATTTTACCATGCTGTGAAGGGGGTAGGGGATTAAGAGGGACAAGGTGCGAGACAGAGATGAATGAGGTCCAATATATTAGGAGTAAGGCTGGAGGGCAAAGGATGATCACTCAATTTTTGAGAAACTGGAGGACAGAAGAGGGGAATAATGGAAGAGGAAGCAGAGGAGTATTGAAGTAAACCAGGAAGAGAAGAGACAATGTAAGTATCATAAAATCTAGTAAGACAGTTGGTGAGAGTTAGGAGACAAGTAGATGAAAACAAAAAGGAAGACAATAAATCTAAGTCATTGAAGAGAAAAGAGAGGAGACTAAAAACAGAAAGCAAAGCTCACCCTAAAAAGTTAAGTAAGACACAAACTAAATTTAAAAAAAAACCAACCAGGCAGAAAAAGGAAAAACAATGATGCAAACATAGAAAAATAAATGAAGTAAAATTCCTCTGGTGTTCACAGTTCTGTTGTAGGTTCAAGTGTGATCTCAGAAATGTGTTGTGTGCTCCAGTCAATTTTTCAGTGGGATTTGGGCTGGCTATCTGGCGGATCTTAGCCTCTGGATATGGAGGCTGGGGTTGGTGTTTTGTTGCAGAAGTTCTCCTCAGCCCTTTGAGACACATATAGGTGGCCCCACTTGCCCCCCTGTATTCTACTTATGTGCCAAAGCACAATGCTGCTTCATCTGACTCACCAAGTGCTGGTGTGTGTGTCCATATCCAGGCCTTGGTATTTCACTGGGGGTCCACTGCCAGTGGCAGTCTGGAATACAAAGAGAGACTCCATCCTGCTCAAGTCCCAAAAAACTATGCACCTAAACATAAACTACATAACCAGAAAATGAGAAAAAAGTCTAGATGGCTCTGGGTTTGATAATGATTCTTTAGACAGTGACAGTAAAGCAAGATCTATTCAAGCCCTGCTTTGGACACCATATTTCGCTTAAGTAACAAGCCATGCACAAAAGGATTTGCAGATGAAGGAGCCACAGCTAAGAGGAGGCACCTGGAGGTCCAGAGACTTGATGTTCAAAGTCAGGGACTTCTCTGTAGCCAGAGACCCAGCCCACTCCCCAGTCCACAAGGTTGCCCACAGATTCCTAGAAGGAGAGGTAACCAAGGACCCTGGACAATCAGACATCTCTTAGTATCTTAAAACACTGAACCACAAAATCGCCAATATTGTAATCTTTATTTTGTTAGTTGAATAAAATAATCAATTCTGCTTCCATTTACTTTATAGTAAAGGTACTAATTGCTGTACTGAATAAAGTCAGAACTAAATGCCATTATAGATTCCTGGGAATATCTGATTATTTCTGACATAGACGCACAACAAACATTTCACCTACAACTTCACTGGATTCAGACTTGACCAGAATACAGAACTCTGTGAAGAGGAGAAACGGTGGCTGGGGGCTGAATTTTCAGAAGGTGCTTAGTGGCCAAGTCCCAGTTTTCACCCAGCTCAAGCCGTTGGCAGATGGATGGATACTGTCCTTCCATTCTCCTGACCCATTCACTTGCTTTCTTTATTGCCTTGAAGTCCCAGGGAATATCTCTAGATGGAAAGAAAAGTTAAACGTTTCCACTGATTTGAAAATATTAACATATGTGAACTGTAATGTAGCACTAAGTTCATCACATTATGTAAAACAAAATAACTGTCATAAGTAAAGATATTTAATAAAAGCAATTCACCTGACATATGGGGAAAGTTATTCCTTTTGTCTGATATGGAGATCTGAGCATGTACAATAGGCTTCCAATTTGTGATCCATCCCCTCCCATGGTGTCCCACACTGCCCTTGCTGCTTGCTGGGATCAAGCTTCTCCTGGTTATTTTATTTTATTTTATTTTTGGTCTTTTTTGAGACAGGGTCTTGCTATGCAGTTCAGGCTGGCCTTGAGCTCACTTTGCAGCCCAGGCTGGTCTTGAACTTGCAATGATCCTCCCTCAGGAGGATCACCTCAGCCTCCCGACTGCTGGGATTACAGGTGTGAGCCACCACGTCCAACTCTCTCCTGGTTATTTTTTAAAAATTTATTCATTTTTTTTGGTGGGAACATTTTAGATATACACAATGGTAACATTCATCATAGTGAAGTTGCACATGGACATGACATACCTTAGTTCTTTTTTTTCATTCCCATCACCCTCCCCTCCCTTAACCTCACTTCCCCTCCATATTTACAAAATCATTGTTTCCATTTTTTCCTTCTATTCTTTTTCTTGTCCCTTCTTTACTTTCCTCCTTCCCCCTCAATCAGTCCCCTCTTCATTGGAACATTTTCTTCCCACTTTCAGTATCTATTATACGTTTTGATCATTTACACTTTTGATTTCTTAACCTAGAGAAATAATGAAGTATTTAAATATTACACTTAAGAGTATGGTCTCAAAGTGCATCCATTTAGCTAGAACATCTCAAGCTTATCTTTTTTGTGGTAGAGTAGTACTCTTTGCATGAAAAAAAACACACCTTCAAAAAAGAAAGAACAAAAAAAGCATCCTTAACCATTGATTGGTTAATGGTCCTTTGGATTGTTTTCAATATTTAGCTATTAAAACTGTGCCACTTTAAATATGGGTGTGCATATACAGCTGTGGTATGATGTTTTTATTTCTTTTGGGAAGATAAGAAGAATAGTGGAGTTGAATAGAACCTCTAGTTTTACTTTTTGAGGACTCTCCATACTGATTTCCACAGTAGTTACACCAGTCTATACTATCACCAACAATGGAGACGGGTTCTTCTTTCCTCATAGCCCTACCAGCAGTTGTTATTGGTTGATTTCTTGATAATAATCATTCTTTCTGGAGTAAGATGTAAACTCAGTATTATTGTTTTAACTGGCATCTCTTAATTGACCATTTATGAAAGAGGCTGTATTTTTTCCCGGTGGTTGTTAAAGATAAGATCTGCCTCCATTTGAATTGGCTTCTTTTCTCTTGTCTGTCTTTTTACTTTTTTGGAGACAGCGTCTTGAAATTCAGTTCATGCTGGCCTTCAACACATTATAGAGCCTATGCTGGCCTTGAATACATGGTGATCCTCCTACCTCAGCCTCCTGAGTGCTGTGATTATATGTTTACACCACCATTCCTGGCTAGCAGTTGATTTATTGGTAACAGACATTCTTTATGGAGTGAGATGGACTCTCAGAGTTGTTTTAATTTACATCCCTTGAATGACCAGTAATATTAAAGTTTTTTTCATATACTTATTTGCCATTTCTACTACTTCTGAGGAGCCATCTATATTCATTTTGGAGGTCCATTTTTGGATCAGGTCTTTAAGTTTGGGGGGGTCTGATATTTTTTGAATTCTTTATATATTCTAGATATTAGCTCTCTGTCTGAAGGAGAGTGGTCAAAAATGTTTCCCATCTGTGGGTTATCTTTTCATTCTGTTGGTGGTTTCTCTGCTGTGAAAAAAATTTTTTTGACACGATTCCAGTTGTAGATTCTTCGTGACAGTTCCTATGTGTAATCAGGGTTTTGTTCATGAAGGTTTGTCTATACCAATGTCTTTAAGGGTTCTACCTATCCTATCTTCCAGAAGATTTAGTGTTTCTGTTTTAATATTTAGATCTTTGATCCATTTTTATTTTAATTTAGTCCATAGTGAAAGATATGGGTGTAGTTTTAATCTTTGGCATGTGGAAAGTCAGTTTTGCCAGCACCATTTATTAAAAAGGCTTCTCTCTTCCAGTGAAGCTGTCTGGCTTCTTTGTGAAAGATAAAGTGGCTGAGTATGTTTATAGCTGCCTAGCTTTTTATAACATTTAATATAATTTACAAAAGAGAGTGCCTTCATTACTGAGACAAAATACCCAACACCCAAAGTTAAAGGAGGAAAGGTGATTGTTTTGACTCATGGCGTGTACAGGTTTCAGTCCACAAGTGAGGGTGGCATAGAATAGGGGCATCACAGACACAAAAATAGTCTATGCTAGGCACAAGGCAACAAAAGCAAGTGATAAGAGCAGCTTTCTTTCTGTCCCTTATATTATATATAGGCTACAGGTCCTCAGAATGGGAAGCACTCGTACCTGGGATGGGTCCTCCCATTCATTATACACTTTCAGAACTGCCAAATCAAACTGTGGGCTGATTTTCTTATAAAAAAACTCTGATCCCAGCTTCACACTGTAGATCCATCCATCTCTAAAAAAGCCCCACTGATGGCTGTGTGAGGCTTCAGGGGGACATTTAGATAAAAGCCATAATATTTACTGTTTTTAAAAAATTCACACAAGGGGCTAAGGTTGTAGCTTAATGATAGAGCATTTATCTATACTGTGCAAGGCCCTGAGTTTGGTCCCAAGAACCATCAACCTCCACAAAAAGAAAAAGAAAAAAGAAAATAAGGATAAACGGAAGGAAGAAAGAAAAAATTTTAAGAATCACATATTTTCTGTAAAGCATACAAATTTCCCACACTGTCTTGGGTTTTTGTAATGTTCACTTTCCTAAGGATGTACTCATCACGAGACATTATATGCTATTTTATTTGTTTTGCTAAAATTATTCTTTTTATTTTGTGTCCTTAAAGGTTTTTCCTCTGTTTTTGCTTGTACTGGGAATTTAATTCAAGGCCTTCACATTGAGGTATATACACAGCATAAACATATTCCCTTTCAGATTTTTGTTCATGTGTGAAACGAATAAAATCTCTCTTTCATTTTCTTTTTTGAGCTTTTAAAACCTAGAGATGCATTACCCTTTTCTTGGCCAATAGCTTGAGTTTTAAACAAAGAAAACTCATTTTGAAGGCTACAGTAAGAATAGTTTAGTGAAGGGTGACAGAGCAGGCCTTGAAGCTTGGGAGTTACCAGATTTATGTGGTGTCAAGAGTAGAGGCCAAGATAACCAACCCTTCTGAGTCATACATGAGTTTAATATTTTTTTGGCCTACATTGGTGTATATTATTTTACTTACTTCAAAGAGAAAAAAAATAGGAGAATGAAGAAGAAATAATTAAAAACAACAAAAGTAAAATGACAACAACAGAAAACAATTGTGATACAAGATTTCAAAACAAAATGATAGGATATCCTCAAAGTAATTCCTCAGCCTACAGATATGGGCTTGCAAGACTGATCAAAAAATATAATTTCCCTTTGAGCAGTTTCTTTCCCTTTTAATATATCTATTGTAACTTTTGAATCTTATTTATTCTTTTAGTTTTTTACACTAGTGAGACAATTTGGTGTTTACAGATGCAAGTCATGTATTTCATGTATGAGTGTGGTTTTAATTGCATTCATTTACCTATAAAATCTTTGAGTTTATCATTATTTACTGCAGAGTAGTATTCCATTATATAAAAATATCACATCTTTTTATCCATTCCTCATCTGGACCTCTGGGTTGTTTTGAAGATTTACCAATTACAAATTGTATTCTATTTGTGGCAAGATGTTTTCAATTCTGGGAAAATACTTACAAGGGGAATAGGTTGGTTGAATGGAACCTCTATTCCTAGTTTTTTGAGGAATCTCCATACTGACTTCCACAGTGGTTATACCAGTCTACATTCTCACCAACAATGGAGAAGAGTTCCTTTTTCCCAACATGCCGTCCAGCATTTGTTAGTGGTTAATTTCTTGATTTTAGCCAGTCTTTCTGCAGTGAGATGGTATCTCAGTGTAATTTTAATTTGCACTTCTCAAATGATCCATGATGTTGAAAATTTTTTCAAATATTTATTTGCCATTTGTATTTCTTCATCCAAGAATAGTTTTCATCTCAGATGCCCATTTTTGGATTGGGTCTTTAAATTTGGGGGCCTGATTTTTTCAATTTTATATACATTCTAGATAAAAGTCTTTTGTCTGAGGGACAGTTGGCAAAAGTCTTTTACCAATCTGTGGGGATTTTTTTCACTCTATTGGTGATTTCTTTTGATGTGTAAAAACTTTTTAATAAGACAAGATCCCAGTTATTTTTTCAAGTACTTCCCATGCAGTGTAATTTTTGCTCATGGACTGTCAGTCTATCCATATCTTTGAGATTTCTATTTACTTTGTCTTCCAGTAGTTTAGTGTTTCTGTCTTAATATTTAGACCTTTGATCCACTTTGACTTGAATTTAGTACATGGTGACAGGCATGGGTCCAGTTTAAGTCTTCAGCATGTAGAAAGTCAGTTTTTTTAAAACAACAATTACTAAAGAGGCTGTCTTTCTTCCAGTGATGATGTTTAGCTCCTCTGTCAATGATAACATGGCTGACTGTGTTTGTAGTTGTGTCTGTATCTTCTGTTCTGTTCATCTGATCCTCAGGTCTCATTTTATTACAGTAACTTTGTAGTATAATTTCCAGTTTTGGACTGTGATGCCTCCTGTCTTGTCTTTGTTGCGCAGGAGTGCCTTTGTCATTTTAAATCTATGTTCCATATGAATTTTAGAAATGTTTTCTCTAGATTTGTGAGGTATGATAATGGCATTTTGATTGGGACTGCATGAAATCTGTGTAACAGTTTTGGGAGTATGGCCATTTTCACAATGCTGGTTCTTTCTATCCATGAAAAAGGGATATTTTTCCAATTTCTGA